TAATGTTAGCTAAAAGTACTATTTGGGGAAGTCTCTGCCACTGTGACAGTCAAGCCAGGCCTGCTCAATTCTCTCAGCTCTCTTCTGCAGGTCTATTCCTGGTGGCCCGTGGGTAGCTCTTGGACAAAACTCAGCATACTCAATCTCCGAAGACTGACAACTGTTCCTAACAACGATAGTTTAAATTCCTGTTAAGCAGAAGAAGGAAGTCTGAGTCAAAAGAACAGATCTGCAAAGGTTTCCCCAGCCCACTCATAGGTAATCGCCGAGGTTATTGTGCGGAGTGGTTTCATTCCCCTTTTCTAAATGTCTCGCTTCTAGACTAGGCCCAGGGACCTGCCACTGTAATACAGAGCTCCTATCAGTGCCTCTCTTTCCAACAAGATGCATCCCTTGGCAACTCTCCTAGAATGTGAAAGCAGCTCATTTTAAAATAGAACCCTTTTTTCTTTGCTCCTTCTACACTTAGACAGTATATACCAAGTGGAAAAATAGTCATCGTCATCCTTCCTCTTATTTCTTCCCTTTTCTCTTCCCTTCCTCTTTTCTTCTTCGTCTATTTTCTTCCCCTTTTCTTTTTTTCTTCTGTTTCCTTTAATCCCTCCCAATGGCCCAGAATGGAGCTGATTTGTTCTGGACTTGGTATTGTTCTGAATCAGAGGCAGATCTGGGAAATGGTAGTTTCTTTTTTGAACTTGGTGTTTGGCTGAAAAATGAGATAGGAGAGGTTCTTGGGCAAAGAACAGGAGGTGAAGATAAAAGGAACTGTCCCTGGGGAAGGCTTTAGAGACACTCCCCAAGCTGATTCATCTTTACTAGAGAAATGGCTCTTCAGCCTCCCACAACTAGCTACACTTATTTTATCTTATTTTATTTATTTATTTGAGACAGAGTCTTACTATGTCGCACTCTGCTAGAATACCATGACATCATAGCTCACAGCAACCTCAAACTCTTGGGCTTAAGCGGTTCTCTTGCCTCAGCTTCCTAAGTAGCTGGGACTACAGGTGCTTGCCACAACGCCCAGCTATTTTTTGTTGTAGTTGTCATCGTTTGGCAGGCCCGGGATGGGTTCAAACCCACCAGCTCTGGTGTATGTGACCGGGGCCCTAGCCGCGGAGCCATAAGCACCGAGCCACTTACTTTATCTTAAACAGAATAAAATACATAATGCTGGACTCAAGTATTCTCCTGGTTTTCATTCTAGTGTCTTTTATCTCTGGGTTTCTAGTTAAAGCCAACGTCAACTGTTTTCATTATTTATTGTAAAGTGCCTGTCTAATCTTGGCGCCATGTATGATTTATTTTGTTAGCTGTTATTTCCTGAGTCATAAAAGGAGGGGTTCTAGAGTTCAGGAAGCCCAAGAAAGAATGAGATTTGCTTGGCTGCTTAGCAATCTCCTATCTAAAAATTAACCTTTTCAGAGTTATGCCTAAAGATCAGATACAGGATAGCAGTTTGCTCTGAAGCTAACAATAATTCTGTTATCTCACCTGTGGTTAGACTATGAAAAACATTTAAAGGGAAAGAAAATATGTTTAGTTTTCAACCAAAAATATTATTTAGGTGGATGTGAGTAGCACCTTAAAAATTTTTTTTATGTGGTTAAAAAAAATCAAAATTGTCATTCAACTTCCTAATAACCTAAATTAGCCTCTGAATTTCATTAGTTTGCTTTGAGTTAGTTTTGAAAACTGAACTGAGTTTGTTGTTGTTGTTGTTGTTTTGGAGACAGAGCCTCCAGCGGTCGCCCTGGGTAGAGTGCTGTGGCATCTCAGCTCACAACAATCTCCAATTCCTGGGCTCAAGGGATTCTCTTGCCTCTGCATCCCAAGTATCTGGGACTACAGGCGCCTGTCACAATGCCTGGCTATTTTTTGGTTGCAGGTCTCATTGTTGTTTGGCGGGCCTGGGCTGGATTCAAACCTGCCAGCTCAGGTATATGTGGCTGGCGCCTTAGCAGCTTGAGCCACAGTCGCCAAACCCTAAACTGAGTTTTTACCAATCCAGACAGCAGTGTTATAATATAACTTGGTCTCTTTATCCTTTATGGAGTATATGTCCCTGGGCTTAGTAGATTGCTCATTTAAAACAATCAAAAGTAGTTATTTGCCCAGGCACAGTGGCTCATGCATTTGGGGAGCCCAACACAGACAGGAGGATTGCTTGAGAAGAGGAGTTTGAGACCAGCCTGAGCAAGAGCAAGACCCTGTCTTTACAAATTAGACAAATTAACAAGAGGTATACTTCCAACTATTCCTCCAAGAATCACTTGAGCCCAGGAGATTGATGTTGCTATGAGTTGTGGTGAGGCCACTGCACTCTAGCTTGCTAGCTTGGACAACGAAGAGATCCTGTGTCAAAAAAAAAAAAAAAAAAAAAAAGGAGGCTGAGTGTGGTGGCTCACATCTGTAATGCCAGCACTCTGGGAGGCCCGAGACAGGTGGATTATCTGAGCCCACAGGTTTGAGACTGGCCTGAGCCAGAGCAAGACCCCCGCCCCACTTCTAAAAATAGCTAGGCATTGTGGCAGGTGCCTGTAGTCCCAGCAACTTGGGAGGCTGGGGCAAGAGAATCGCTTCAACCCAAGATTCTGAGGTTGCTGTGAGCTATGATATTACAGCACTCCACTGAGGGTGACAAAGTGAGACTCTGTCTCAAAAAAAATAGAGTTACTTGATTTCTTTCATAATTGCCCCAGTCTATAGAAGACAAGGAAAAAATAAATTTTCTATTCCACAAGTGTGAAAAAGAAACTCTGACGTTAGAACAATTTGCATGAATGTCTTTTCCGTCTACCCTTTTACGTTTTGGTCAATTGAAGCAATCAGCTTGACATTATACCTATGTTCTTAGTTTTCTCCTCCAGGAATAGTCACTCCTTCTAAATGCTTCCTCTCCTCCCAGACTTCTTCACTCTTGAAGTGCCCCAGGGCTCCTCACTTGGCCCCGATCTGCACTCATCTCCCCTCTTATCTCATTGAGTCTTGTGATTCCACATTCTTTTCAGGAATGCCAGGGAGTGCTCAGGAATGAAGCAACAACATGTTTCCAATCCTGAAATGATTCAGTTAAACAAACAAGTATATAAATAGAGAAATATAGAGCTAATATGCCAAATGTTAACACTTGTTGAACCATGTTAGAAGGTATACATCCTAAACATATGTACATTTCTGTGTGTTTGAAAATGTTTGTATTTAAAGTATGGAAGTATGGCTCGGTGCCTGTGGCTCAAGCGGCTAAGGCACCAGCTACATACACTTGAGCTGGCAGGTTCGAATCCAGCCCGGGCCTGCCAAACAACAATGATGGCTGCAACCAAAAAGAAATAGCCAGGTGTTGTAGTGGGTTGTGGCCTGAGCCAGAGCAAGACTCCCGCACCACCTCTAAAAATAGCTGGGCTATTTGTAGTCCCAGCTACTTGGGAGGCGGAGGCAGGAGACTCGTTTGAGCCCAGGAATTGGAGGTTGCTGTGAGCTGTGATGCCATAGCACTCTACCCAGGGCAACAGCTTGAGGCTCTGTCTCAAAAAAAAAAAAAAAAAAGAAAAGAAAAGAAAAGAAAAGAAAAAGTATGGAAGTATATAAATACTACCTACATACTTACAACTCTCCAGTTACGTTTCCTGTCCCATTTCTTTCCTGAACTCTAAACTCATGTATCCAACAGCCTACTGGCTTCCCCATTTGGAATCAAAGTAAAATACCCAAAACAGAACTCCCGATCTGCCCCCTTTCAAGCCTGCTCCATCAGAAGCTTCTGCATGTCATGACGACAATTCCATTTTTTACAGTTTTTCAGGCCCCAAACCTCAGAGTAGGTTCGACTCTTCCCTTTCTCTCCTAACTCACATCCCATCCACCTGGAAATCCTGTTTCTTCTGTCTGCAGAAGGAAGCCATCCGGAATGTGGTTCCTTATCACCAATGCCACTCTATACACAGAACTGCACCACAACCAGCTCTTGGTTAGGTCAGTACAGTGGGATCCCAGTTGGTCTCCCTGTTTCTGCCTTGTGCCCTTCTGTTTATTTTCATCAGGTAAGCCAGAGAGACCCTTTTAAAATGGAAGTCAAACTGAGTTCCTTCTCTGCTCAGAAGTGGTCTCACTCGAGTGTAAATAGGAAGGCGGGGAGGCTGAAATCCTCCAACAGCCCCGGGCCTTGCCTGACCGCTTGCCCTTCCTCCTGGCTCACTATGCTCCAGTCACTCTGGCCTCCTCTGTTGTTTCTGGAATAAGCCAAGATGCTCCTTCTTTCTTGAGACTCTGTACCAGGTGTTCCTGCTTCCTGGAATTCTCCTCCCCCGATCATTTGTACCTTTGTCAAGTCTTTCCTTACAGTTACTTCTCAACAAAGCCCATCCTTAAGGTCGCAACTTGCTTCTCCTCACATGCCAGATCCACCTAGCTCTGCTCATTTCCCATTACTGTCCAACACACTAGCTAATTTCCTTATTCATTATGTTTATTGTCTGTCTCTGTGGTGAGGATAGGGATGTTTGCTTGCTGTTACATGCCATGTGCCTAGAACAGGAGCCTGGTCCAATATGGAGCCTGGTATGTTAACAAATATTTGTGGAGTGAATGCAATGAATGAATAGTCACCCTTTGGTTATATCTCTAAAGCAAAATAACCTGTACTGAGAACTTTAATAGGCCAGAAATTAAACTTAGCTTAAAACTCTTTAGTTTTTTTTTTTTTT